TGCACTACCCATTGAGTCACTTTATTCAAAACACCCTTTTTTACCTGGGAATATTTAGAAGATAAAGTAAGGTAAGAAAAATAGAAGAATGTGGAGGAACACACTTTTTTGAGCAAATAGATGTGTCTTATTTATAGGACTCATGGTCATGTAATTCTTATTTATAAGTTAATGGTAGGAATAAATTGAGCAATTATTATGAATAATTTGCTCTTACATAAGAACATTAACCTACAACAGTTAGTTTGACAAAGTTTTTAATAGTACAATAATTTAATTTATAAAATATATTATTTTACTTTTTATTAAAATATTTAAATTCCAACAATTCCCCTACTATTTTAATAAAAAAATAAACATTTCTTTTGGGCAAAAATGGATTGTTATGCATAATAAGGGTAGTTAAGTCTTAAACCTTTACTTAGTGAATCAACAATTCTTAATTTAAAGTCAATAGTGAACTAAGTCTTTAACTATGACCTCATTGGAAGATACAAGAATCGTATCACACGGATAATGATCCAAATGTTGAGTTTTCACATAGTTGGCGTGTTATGGCCTTGCACATGATCCTAGTTTTCATGGGTGATCTAAAAATTGCTTATCTAATTTTCATAAAAGAGACCTCACTTCGACACCCATATAGATGAAATTTGTCAAGAGTGCTTCTATTACTAGGACACCCCACTGATTAACCTATAAATTTCATTAAGAGTATATAACTCAACCCTCAATTCGTTACTGGATAGATGCATCCTAACCTTAGGAATGGAACTTGAAATTTTTTCCATAAAATATTGATGCATCTTTCAACAAAGAACTCTCTATAATTTGTTTTTCCCATTCAAAACCCAATTCTCAAAATTCGAGTTGGGTATCCTCATGGGGAGTTTTACATTATTGGGCTCAAATCTCATTTCCCTCGATGAGTACTAAACCTTGGACCATAATCATAGATTTTCCTCCAACTTTTGTTTTGCCAAAGGCCTAGTTGGTGGTATAGTTGATAACAAAGAGATTTAACTCATTCTTTTTCTCACTTTTTCACATCAACCCACATGTCTACTAGCTCATAAAATTCACATTCATATTTCTCAAATTCTTAATTCATGGTACCACCATATTGATATCAATTCTAGCTAGTGAACCACTATTTTCTTTCAATATACATGTTGAGACATGTAATTAAGAATTTTTAACTTAAACACCATTGTACCTTGTTGTATAATAGGAATGTTCATGATCGCATATCCCTTCCTTCAAGTGCCTTGTTTTTTTTTCCTCATACACCATTATACCATAATTGTATAATAGGAGTGCATATCATATTTGCTTTATTAAGCACCATTATACCTTATTGTATAATAGGAATGCTTTGCAAAATTTCAATTAGCCACCATTGGTCTCATCACCAATAACAATATAGACGAAAATCATAATCCCCCACGTAGAGAGCATCTCAAATATGTAATTTTCACATTTCTCAAATAATTGAGTTCATGAAGAAACTCATTTTCTCACAAAATTTCATAAGAGCATATTAGCTCATCTCACATATTATTGCCAAATATGACTCCTCAATCGGTCACGCAAACTTGAAATATTAGCTTACATATCCAGAATATATCAACCCAAATTTCCTATCCATTATTACCAAAATAATTACATGGACCAAATTGGATAGCTCTCCTCTTTAGTATTTTTCCACTTTAGTTCTCAAAACTTTCACTTGTTACATCAAAAAACTTAATAATATAATCAATTAAATTCACAAATTTATTCATAAATTTTTTCCTTCATAACTATTGAAAATAAACCAAATATTTACCATATGCATTAAGAGCAAATAGCTAGCTCATTAATCCCATAAACATAGCCATTAGCATTTGGTAGTTTTTATTATAATTATTACAAATGAAGCAGCTAATAATAATCATGGTATGAAACGGCCATCACATGAGATTGCTAAAATACACAAGAATTACACATTCTTATGGTTATGGTTCAATCAAGCCATATTATAATCAAATGCTGCAGTGTATTTAACAAAAAGATCACGTATTAAAACATAACAATCATACATGTAGGCAATGAAATTGAGAAGCACAAATAATTCCGCCACAACAAAAACTAGGCCGCAAATTCTCTAATATGTGTTTACATGGAAGAGGGCTTAGAATATTTGGTGAATCAAAGCATAGTTAAATGTATAGATAAGGTAATGAGACACACTATACGTACCCATTTGTGATCTCAATGTCTCTCAAGTATGATTAATCTCAAAAAAACATACCTTAGGTTCCAAGGAGAGTTAGACAAACAAAATATATTTATTTTCCATACATAGGCACAAAATTGAATCACCTTAAAATTGTTGTTCCTCTAACACTCTTCTCTATCTCCACATCATGTCATTGTTGTGCCCCGGTTACAAGATCAAATAAAATAATAATTAGTGAATTTATTAAGAAATATCAATAAGAAAATATCATCGAAATAAGCGTGAAAAACTTACTTACTTTAACGCGATTCACATCTAAGTTTTTACGCCTCTGTGGAGAGTAAATTAATCAGTGCAGCAAAGATATATATAGCATGTCACCCCCAAGATACTGTAGCTTTATAATGACGCTTTATGGATCTGCAATACCCATAAAATTACCTTATTCAAAATACCTCTCTTTGCTTAAGAATATTTAAAAGATAAAGTAAGGTAAGAAAAATAAAAGAATGTGAAGGAACACACTTTTTTGAACAAATAGACATGTTTTACTTATAGGACTTATGGTTATATAATTCTCATTTATAAGTTAATGATAGAATAAATTAAGCAATTGTTATGAAATAATGTGCCTTTAAGTAAGACAATTAATATATAACGTTAATTTGACAAAATTTTTAATATGACAATAAATTTAATTTATAAAATATATTATTTATTTTTATTAAAATATTTAAATTTTCAACAAATAGAGGTGGTAAGTGATTGATATCTGGTAAGATGTCGACCAGTTCTTAACCTAGTGAACAATTGATCTACAATTAATATTGGCATGCAACAGTTGCATATACATTACATTACTTTTGATGCTCTGAATCTTATATCAGGATTAAATAAAATAATATATGAATTACAATGATATGGCCTAAAGAGAGCCCATTAATCGTAGATGCTCTTAGTCTAATGGTAGGCTCGGTGTGGGTTGTTTTAGTTCACACTCACAGGTGAACTGATCCTAATAGTCAAGTAGTAGTAGTTCCTTTTGTACTTATCCACATGGTGTTGCACCTCATGCATGGTATCCGCGCCTTCCTTCTTGACTTCAATGTTTCAAAAGTCAAGTCACAACCAAACTACCTTAATTGTTTATTAATAATTTATTTCTTATATAAATAAAATATTTTTAATTTAAATTATATGCATATAAGTATAATAGATTATAAAATACAAGAGTGTTCTCCATTGGACAACCAAAATTAAAGAAAAAAAAAAAGAGCCACTAAACTCGACGTCCATATGTTAACCTTGAATTACAAATTCAATAAAGTACCAATTTTTTCGAAAGAGTCGAAGTCAAACATGCACTTTAACATTGGACTACACGTTCAATGAAAACTTGGTAAAAAAGAAAAAATGATTGTATATTACAATATTATAGGCTATTG